GAAGTACGCATTTTAAGTGCGGTTACGTCACCGCCACGCGACGACGGCTGTCCCAATTCGAAGTGTACTTCAAATGCATACTCCAAATGCGCCGTTGATTTCCCCAAATATCAAGCGTGGTCCGGTGCACGCTTCGTGGTCCCATATATCCCACAATTCATAGCGCGGCGGTGGGTGTGGATAATTTTGCCGCACAATACGGCAGAAGGAAGAGGCCGAAAAGTGAACTGTCAAAAGTAAGTACTGAATATGACGTCACTTATTCATGTGCGAATGTTTAATAACGAAGAACATTAAAACATTGCTGTTGGCCACATGTCGGCAAAGTTATGTGACACTAGTGATGTTTGTACTTTCAGCATTAACTTGGTTTTAAAGCCTCTACTTCTAAATATACATATAGTCGACCTTAATCTTACAGAGAATCTGATGATTTTATGGATAATTACAGTCAGTCATATATCCACAAACACGACAAGCTGACAGTCAGTGATATAGATTATATATATATATCATAATAATCTGACAATGCTATAATATTGGCCATATTATATTTACATTACCATAGTGAGATGACATTAGTCTCATGAACAACATTAACTAATTATTATTTACTAGCTAATCTTAAATGACTGTTCAGTACAGAAATGAAGCCCTTGAATCATGTTTTACAGTCCTGTGGTCTCAGCCTCAGATACTCAACTAATCAAAGTGATGTCATGACAAAAATGATTGACCAACAAAACAATTTTCTCCTTCATTTCTGTCAAGCAAAGCTGTATGTAGCGTGTCTCGCGGTTAGTATCATGGTTGCTAGGCAACCTGAACAGCGCGACGAAGCATATACCGTCCCATTTCACAAGCCTCTCACTTCCGCACTTCTCGTACTTATAGTACGCACCGTACGTAGTACGCGTAGTGTGCGTACTTCAAGCGTGCATACCCCGAATTGGGACACAGCAATAGTTTGGATGTTCTTTTGCTGCTGGTTCAGTCAATATTGTTTGAAGAGAGATAAAACCTGCAGCTTCAGAATCTAGCGCAAAAAGGACGTAAACACAAAGCGCGGACCCGCCGAAACATCAAAATCAGTGAGCTGTTGGCTTTCAGCCCCGACCGTGTCCGTGCCGTCGGATGAGAAAGGCGACATCTCACTGTTTCTGATCCGTCGGTGGTCCTCACTTTGTGTTTACATCTTTGCACAGAATCCGTGTACCTGCTCTCATTTACTGTTTTAGCTGTTTGGTGGTTGTTGAAATTTTGTGACGTTTAACCTGCTGGCAAAATAAATTTATATTTAAAAATCGACTCAGGATGTCAATGAATCGATATCACGTTATCCAAGCTAGAATTTTAATCGATAAATCGATAATCAAAACCCACCCCTACTTCCAGTCTCCGTGAGAATGAAACCTGTGTGTTTATTTTGCAGCGTGAGGTCATCTGTGCCTGACAGTTTGTGGAAATGAGGACTAAACAATGCCGTGCTCTGATTGGTTCAATCTGTCCTTCTGAGCGGCTTGCTCCTGCAGCTGTTACCTGCTGAGAGGCTCAACCTGAGCATGTGCATTGTGGGTGTATCTGATTGGAGGAATTTGATTTTCTGTTGCTGTCCATTTATTATTTTTTCTGCTTTATTAAAATCTTTTTTCTTTTCTTGTCCTTTTTTAAAATTTATTTTAGTTTTTGGTCACAGCAAACAATCAGGAGCAAAACTCAAACTTTATTTTCAAACTCGCTTTGAATGGTCGTGCTTTTATTTTGGAGGCGTGACCATAGTTTCCGGTTCGTGCTGACCCGGTTCAGCTTGACAGAGTGGATTTAAAGCTGCGGATCCAGCTGTGGGTCCAGCTGTGGATGACGGAGGGACCTGTGCACTCTGCAGGCTCTGCCTGACCTCACGCACCCACACGAGCACCCCCCACCCCCCCCACACACATACACACACACACACCTCCTGCTCCTCCGGCTGCCACCATGCGGGAACCCCGCAGCTGGACCCGGAGGTTCGTGCCTGCGGCCCGCGGCAGACTGGTCACCTACACTGGGGAGAAGAAGGCGCAGCTGGCGGCCAGCGCCAACCGGAAGTGGGTGAGGCTGGCCACAGTGGCGGCGTACGTGCTGAGCGTGTCCGTGGCCGCCATGGTGCTCGCGGTGTATTACAGCCTCATCTGGAGACCCGGGCAGAGCCGGGACCGGAACGGGAGCCCCGGGGCCGAGCACAGCCGGGGAAAGCCCTCCGAGTGTGACGTCGATACGGACGGTGACGCCACTGATAACAGATCGATAGCTGATCGTTTACTTGCTGACAGTCACGTACCCGTCACCGCTCTGAGCGCGGAGGTGTCTCCGGTCTTCGCCCCCGGACCCACCGGACCTCCCGGGGCCGGGCAGGAATCCACCTCTCCGGCCGCCGTCACCGCGGAGGATCCGTCCAACCTGCCGACCCACCGCGCCGCCCGACACCGGGAGCCAACGCCCTCCGCCAGCTGGCCGGAGGCGGACTCCGCCGGGTCCGGGTCCGAGGACTTGACTGGATACCAGTGAAGGCTTTCACAATAAAAGCTCCTGTGGACGCTGAGAGAAGTCTTCCATCGGTCCAGTTATTGATCCGAGCGCGATGATTTATGACTTATTTTTATTGATTATTGTTCAGTTTGTGTTTCTCTGAGCTGCTCATTAAAGTAGCATTTCTACAATAAACGAGTTTCTGTACACCTCAGGTGCTCCTTCTCTGTCACATGATCACACCTGAGACAGGTACTCTGAGCTGAGCTGATGAGCTCATGCTGCTTATTTGCTGTTCTTGTGAGTGGGGTCAAAGTTCAGACTACAGAGGGTTCAAGCTGAAGCTGTGTTGGATAAATGTGTTATTATAAATGAGAACGATGAGGTACGCTGAGCAAATATCAAACATTTAAAAATTCAAAGACAAGCTCGTCTCACACAGGTGAGCTCAGGTTTCTACTCCACACGAAGACTCGTCACCAGAGAGCTTTAATGAGAACATTTAATCCACGCTGTAAACCCAGGTTAAACCTTTAATCCCTCTGATTTTTTAGTTGTTCCCTTATCCTCCCTGTTCCCTTCCCTGAATAATCCATCTGGGGTTCCAGAGCTGAGAACAGTAGCTGATGTATTTAACAAACACGAGAATCTTTTCTTACATTAACAGGAAAAAAAATCCTTTATCGTTTATGAATAATGAAAACTACAAAATTAAAATGAGTTCCAGAAAAGTTGGGATGCTTTTAAAATGTAAACAAAAACAGAATCTCATATTTTATTTTTACTTATTAATAAAAACATCAAATTTTTAAAGTGAGTAAATGAAAAACATGAGCTCACACTGTCACACACACACACATACACACACACACGGACTGCCACACACACTATCACACATACACATGCACACATACACACTCACACACACACACTATCATACACAGACACACTGTGAATAAAATGTGTATATTTGTACAAATTGTTGTATTTTGTTGTTTTTTTACATTCATGAAAGTGAAACTTTTTTGGTTTTGGATTTTTTATATATCATCCCTGATTGGTCTAAAAACCATCTTCATAAATTACTGTCTGTTTGTTTGTGAAATCTGATCATTTGCCCCATCAAAACCAAGAAACCTCTGTGTGGCAGCCATCTTTGTTTGGGTCAAGAGAGCAAACAGAATCTGAAGGTTTGTGATTGTCGTCACGAAGCCGAGGATTCAAAGCAGAGAGATCCTGTCAGATTCCCGAGCTCCTGGAATCTGATGTGGAGACAGGCTTGCTGTTTGACAGGAAGTAGGAGAGGCCGCACATTTCCATGCGTCAGTTAATGACCTGAAAATCCTGTTTACTGCTTCCTGTTTGCAGGACTGAGATAAATAAATCTGCATTTATCAGAATACCACCGTGTGACTTCAGTTTCCACAGCCGTCAGAGCTCAGCATGGATGGCTAATCACAGATTGATTAATGCAATTGATTAGAAATAATTTAAAACCTGTTGACAGGAAATAAACAGAGACAGCATTTGTAACTAATGAAGGGTTTGTCTTTCAGCACGGTTTCCCTCTAATTTAGCCCTTCAGTCTCTGAGCTGAGGAGACCAGCTACTGCACGTTGAAGCCAGACGCTGGAAAGAATTAAAAAATATTTAACAAAATTATTAGAAAGGAAAAACTTGACCTGCTTAAAGAGACATTGAAAAACACACACGTGCTCCTCAAACACTCGATGTGAGATGATGTGCTTCCAATAATTTTATTAAATAGTTTTTAGTTCTTACTACAGCCGGGTGGCCTCACTTATTCGATTCAATCTGCACTCAGTCAGAAATATTATTATTATCATCATTTATCAGTACATATCCATAATTTTATATCTATGTATACAAACATAGCTGATACTTGTGAGACATAATCAGAGGTGGAAGCATCACAGCAGATGTCTTTGTGTCAAAGTAACTGAGGCTTAGTGTGTTTGCAACTAAACGCTTTCCCTGTATCTTAAAGAGAAACTCAACAGAGTGTCACCTGGCAGAAAGTTGTCAATATATGCAGCTTTTTCAAGGTTACTTAGTGGTCTGGCATTATTATGAACAACGCAAGTCCGGTTCTGTAAGGTCAAGCAATGCATGATTGATCCAAAATGTTTGGGAGTGGGGGAATCAACCACTGATCTCAGCACAGCTATAGTCAGAGGCAGAATACCAGGGCGGTGGCTGCGATAAAGCCAGTTAGGCTGGATGTAGACTGGTGTACTGGTATACAATATATACAGAATAACAATACTGTCCTTAATGTTTATACTCTCTATGAAACTTCTGAAAATGAGGAGGACTATCTTGGTAGGCTGGTTCTTATTTCTCATTTATTCTAGATAACAGTACTATTTAGTGCACATGTTGTGGGTGATTTTAATGCTGTCAAACTTTCTCTTTCTTGACTCTATCAAGCTTCAGCAATTGCCACTGTCCTCTTCTCCAGGGCAGGTGTCTCAGGCTCCGCTCATGTGGAAGACGAGGAAGCCAGTGAAGGTGCTGAGCCGACCTTGGTCAAAGATGCTGCTGTTTTTCAAGAGGGTGATCCAGAGGCGGTCATCCTGTTCCAGGACCAGTGTCATGTCATTGGAGGTGCTGCTGTGTGGTCCCACCGTGTCCTGGACCGCAAACATGTTCTCGCCGTTCTTCATCAGAGCTGCATGCATGGACTTGGAGTTTCCAGTCAGCCCGGTGAAGCGGATGTAGTACAGTCCTTTGATGGGGGCAGAGAAGATGCCTGCAGTCATAGAGAAGGGATAAATGCCTTAAAATACTTCTTAATGGGGCATGTGGTACTTCAAATGAAACAAACCGCACACTCCCTGCTATGATCCGAACTCTGCTTTTACCCTGAGCTGACCAGGTGTGTCGGACCTGTGTTGGCGTTGTAGCCATTGCCGTTGTTTGTTGTCACCTTCTCAAACACGAACCTGGTGTCGGTGTCATGCGGCCCCTGAAATCTCCATTCTAAGCTGGTGTTTACAAGCGAGGCCGAGAACGCCACCTGAGCTGGACCTGTGGGAAGTCAGGTTTGATGCAGGTTAGCTCTCTCTGTTCACCTCAGTCTTCAGCTTTGTATTTACTGGGAGGGGGCGCCGACATGATCTCCGCCCCCTCAGATGTTTCAGGTCACTGTGACAGTTTTATCCTTTGGGTTTTGTGTCCTTTCAGAGATGTTTTTACAAATAAAACGGACTTGTGAATTCGACCACTTGTTTAACACACTAACTGTAATTTGGTTCCTGTTTATTGTGCCTGACTATGATGGCTATGTGTTCTTGTTTATTTTATTTTATTATCTTGAACCAGTTCAATCATTTCCTGGCATGACTAGCAGCTTTTTAAAAAGTCAGTCCCTTCCAGTCTCAGGTTGAACTTTAGGCTTTCTGTCCGTTTAGCTTCAGAGTTTCAGTAGATTCTGTTCATGAAAAGTTTGTTTCTAACCCTTAAACTAAGGTACACCTAGGTTACCCTTAAACTTATAAACACAGTTTAACCTCAGGACCCCAAAAGGTCCCAAGGCAACAGGTGATATAGCAATATCATATACAAATTAATTTTTCATTTTTTTCACATCAAATCTTTTCAACAACTTCAGACCTAACCATAGGTATAAAGTTTATCATTATTTTTAATTATTTTTATGTTTTTATGCCCTTATTGTCCATAAAGCGTTTTCAGATGGATTTTGCAGACTGAGGCATCACATTTGCAGCAGTTGGTTAGGATCCTTTTGCACTGTTTGCGCGATGCGCACTGTTTCCACTTTTTGGAAGGCTCCTCCTCCTCCTGCACTGTCATAAAGATCCCTGTTTTTTTTATGGGAAAACCCATAATCTGCAATATTTTCCAAAAATTAGTTGCAAAATAGCATATTTGCCATAAGGTTATTACAGCCTTGAATAGGTCAATAACTGATAACAGCATTGATTTGGATGCTTTATTATTTTTGGAACAATGAAAATTTATTGCAAAAACAAAACGAACTGAGCTGAACAAACTCAAAAACAAACTGAACAAAGATGTAATTTACATTTTATAACATGAACCATAAAGCGTTTTCAGATGGATTTTGCAGACTGAGGCATCACATTTGCAGCAGTTGGTTAGGATCCTTTTGCACTGTTTGCACGATGCGCACTGTTTCCACTTTTTGGAAGGCTCCTCCTCCTCCTGCACTTGGCCCTGGGCTTGTAAGACCAGGCTGGCTGCAAACGGTGTTCTAGGCAGGTGGCTTCTCTTCATCATGGTCGGGGTGGTGAGGGCTCTGCCAATCTGCTCTATGAACAGACGCCACCTGTAGTGCTTTGCTCTGTTCCAGTCCGGCTCCACAGTAGTGAACAGGACAAAAGCATTGTAGCAACTTATGTCAATCATGCGATACAGCAGACACATGGGCCAGCTACGTGTGGAGTAGGTGCCACAAACCAGCAAAAGAAAAAAAAAATGATGACATGACATGAATAGATTTATACAGCCATAGACAAGAGATGCCACCCCCCCCCACCCCCCCATCCCCATTTCTGTAACTATCAAAAATTATCATAATCACATTTATGTTATCAGATAACTGATAGAACTTCATCAGTTATAACAATGAGTAAAAGTAAATAATTGATGTATAATTGTGCTTACCTGGTCCAGATGATCCACAGCCCCTTTGCACTTGTTATAGTCCAGGATGATCTGGGGCTTTTTCTTGCCACAGTCCTGGATATGTGGCTCACAAGTGGGACACCACATGATTTCCCCATTTTTCGATCTCCACCGAGTGTCATGCTCCAGCCTTGTCTCTCCCTCCTCAGACAAGCTGCAAAGCTCCTCAGTGCCTGGCAAAAATTCCTCCCCTTCTTGGCTGTCAGAAAAATCTCCACTGCTAGTGCTCTCTTTTTTGCTTTCGAAAGACTTTCGAAAGAAAAACTGCAGCAACAGCCTCTAAATTGAGTGTGCGCTTCATGGTGTCTGTGCAGAAGTGACCAGTAAGACCAGGCTGCAAACTATTCTCACAGACTTCAAAGGTGCCCCTGCATAAACGTGCTATACCATGCATCCAATAAGAGAGCGGAGGCTTTCTTCCTCTCTCCCTTCTGCGCTGTTCCTGTGCTACTGGGAGTGTAACTACCGCCCCTCCCCCCTCTGCTCAGCGTGAGTGATGTGGTATCGCACACTAGTGATGTGCGATACCACTGATTTCCTTTCCGATACGATACCAAGTAATATTCAGGGTGGTATCGATGATACTGATCCGATACGATACTTTGTACAAAAATGTATTTTATTTATTGTCTCTCAAATTACAGCATCATAATGATTACAGGACATCCGATTACTTGTTCTTATCACTTAATAATGCAGGGTTCATCATATAGAAATTAAAAAAACTAAAGTTGTGCGCTATTTGAATACCTTGCCTGCCTGTAGCACTAAAGGACTCCGTGAGAGACGTCTGTCTCGCCCTAGCAGCACCTGTCCCTCTCCTCCTCTTCAGTTTGCCTCAACATACGCTCGTCATATTCTGTGATATGATTTATACTGAGGTGTTTGACAAGGTTAATGATGTTGCCACAACCATACTTGCCAACCCTCCCAATTTTTCTATGAGAATCCCTAATTTCAGTGCCCCTCCCGAAAATCTCCCGGAGCCACAATTCTCCCGAATTTCTCCCAATTTTCCACCCAGACAACAAAATTGAAAAGCTATATCGCAGAATTCATAGTGCAGCCCAGCCAATTCCAGTTTCCAACAATGGCGGCAGCTACTTAGTTTTAATATTACTCTTATTTCTCTTTCTGGGTTGCAAAAAGACTTTTAACATATTTTCAGGTGAGAATGTAGCTGTGTAAACTTCAAATATCTGAGCCGACCGACACATCGTCTTCAAACCCCCGCGGTCTTTCGCTACTCGGGTTAAACATGATATATAAGTCACTTTGATAACTTAAAAATGTTATTGTTTGGCTTCTTCAGTGTTTTATTTGTTCGTGAGTAAATTAAAGTTATGAGATTAAAGTTATTAGATTAGATTAAATTAAATGTAACTTTATTAATCCCTCGGGAGGGTTCCTCCGGGGTTTTCACACAGCTGAATAAACGTCAAACAGAAAACTGATTAAACTGAAGTGTGAGACGATCGAGAGTTTAAGTCAGCACCCGGTTATATTTTAGATAGCAAGGAGCAGACGGCCAAGTTTCACTCCACCGAGGGAGCTTGTGACGTACTACCCGGCTTTCTTTAGACCGCGAAGGCCGGGTCCTCAGGTGGAAGCAGCCTCTGAATTTGGACACCCCCGCTGTTTCCGGGCCGGTCAATAATAACGGTGACATTTAACGTATTTTATCCGATAAATAAACACTGCAAAATGGATTTATCACCCCCCAACAGCCCTTTTGAATGTCTCCCTAATTCTGAGGTCTCAAGGTTGGCAAGTATGCCCACAACACCTCACTTTTTTGCCACATGTATCGCAAACCACGTCTCAGCTGTTTGTGGAAGTAAAATACGTTCACATAATTACGCTCAGTTGTGATGTGATGTGATCCTGAAATATCGATTCCTCCGATACCAGTCATTTATGTTCTAGAATCGATTCTCACATTAAAATATCAATTAGTAATTTAGGGTAGATTTGTAGTTTATCATTAACAGGAACAGAGTGGAAAGAAACTATAACATTCGGATTGTCTACATTCAAAGGAACTACTTCCTCTTCCGCCTTTCATAATCATGTGCGAAATACGGCTGTATAAATGTCTCGCAGCCCCTGGTGTGCGCACTCACAACAATGGCTGAGCGTTAGTGATGTGCGATACCACTGATTTTCTTTCCGATCCAATACCAAGTAAAATTCAGGGTGGCATCGACACACATGACTCTGTTTACGCTCAGCCATCGTTGTGAGTGTACTCGCCAGGGGCTGCTACACATTTATACAGCCGTATTTCCTATATGACTATGAAAGGCGTAAGAGGAAGTAGTTCCTTCCAATTTAGACGATCCGAATGATATAGTTTCTTTCCACTGTGTTCCTGTTAATAATAAACTACAAATTTACCCCAAAGTACTAAAAT